GATCATCATCATCATCATCATCATCATCATCATCATCATCATCATCATCATCATCATCGTCATCATCATTACTAATTATTATTGTTGTTTTTATATAATTAGCGCCATTATTATTATCACCATCATCATTATTATATTAATAATATTAAAGAATGGGTTTGCTGAGTATTAGGTTTACTCACCTTGAACCGTATATAACTGCACATGGCATCCATCATGAATAATATAATAGATTTTAGTCAACTTTACTCAGACAACTACGGCTTTTAATCAGAGACAGAAAATCTCCACATTGTATACCTCAAGCCTCCAAAACCCGCCGATCATCAATTACTTTGTACAGCGCCAGGAATAAGAAGATTCATACACGTTGTCGGGCATTCGATGAAATTTTATGGTGTAGAATACAAGAATCACGTTCGGTTCGCAACAGCACTTCCCAAATTGATCACAAAGTTATTCTTGATAAACCTGACTCAAGCTCTCTAGCCAAGATATAGGCTACTCATTTTCTAGTATCTTGTGAAAAGTTAAAATTTGACAATTGTCACTTCATGCTTGTATTTCGAAGCCACAACCAATCCCTTTCACACTCTTTATTATTTTTATTTTTTTTCTTATCGTCTTGGGTTGTTTTGCAGGATTTTTCTTACAAGAAATAAGAGACCTTTTATAGATCTATTATATTTCACATTATCAAAAATGAACAAGGAAGCCGATGGTCTTCTACTTAAAACTTCCAGTGCTGTGTAGGCCTGCACGAGGTGATAGATTATGGCACAGAGAGAAATCTTGATGAAAAGTTATTTTCACAAGTTATTCCAAAATGATCCAATCTATGAGCAAGGACAAAACAAGATCAGCAAACCTCCAAATTATTGCATACGAACAAACACCACTCGATCTGAGAACATAAGGCCTTAGAGTTACTTGTACCGTTAGTCCGCAGTTTTCTTACTGCACTGATGCCGTCTGGGACTTTGCTGGCCGTCCGAAATAGCTGAGACTAATCTATCACTGGTTTTCGATAACTGATAATCATGACATTGGGTAGCCACCCCCCCCTTCCCCTCCTTCTTCCCCACCCCGCTCCGCCCCACGCCATCCCTGCCCCCACTGCAGTCCCCCCCCCCTCCCAATCCATTTCCTCCTGAGCCCTTGCAAAAATCCCAGCCGTACCCACATCCGGTTACTTCCTGCCAGGGAACTATCGACATCCATATAACTTTAACCACATCCATTACATGTGCATAATATTTTTCTTGAGATCTATGCTTTATTTGTGTGCATGAGTGAGTAGCGCACAGAAAACAATACTAATGCCATAATATAGAAAACTTTTGAGTCCAGGTCTCCAATTTGTCTTTTGTAAAAGCCGTCAGCCGAATCATTACAACTGCTAGAAAACCCCACCCTCAATAAATTAAAATAAAACAAATACAATAAATAAGTAAATAAATAAACCTCCCATATCCATATTCCTAGATAACCCCTACAGCAATAGCTTCGGGGGGTCAGGTGTCACGACTGACCTTATCAGCAGAGGTCACTAGACACGCCCACACCAATCTGTGAGGAGAGAAAGAACGGGGCTGGACGGTCAGTCTTGGTCTATAATGGTATCTTTGACTAATGGTGGCGGGCACAGGGTGCACCTTACACATTGATGGAGGAAGGGGTGTTAAAAAAGGGCCAGAGGAGTGATCAGGTGCGTGTGTGGGTATAGTATGTGTGTGTATGTGTGTGTGTGTGTGTGTG